ATATCACTGTGCATGTGTGTGGTTCTATAAGACAGATTCTTAGAAGAGGGATTGCTGGGTCAATTGTTTGTGAATTTTAAAATTTTGATAGATCTCTAAAGGGCCATGTGCAGAGTGCAACAACTTTACAATCCTATCATTGATAAATGAGAGACTTGATTTTTCTACATCCTTCATGTCCATGACTGTCGTTCTGGCATGGGAAAATAACTCATTCTTGTTTGCATTTGCATTACCCTGATCACTGGCGAAGTCCAGCATCTTTTCGGTTGCAGTCATTTGTAATTCTCCTTCGGTGGGCTATTCCTGTTCTTTGACCACTTTTCTGCTATGTTATCTGTCTTTTCCTTATTGGTTGGCATATGCCATGCATATTTTATAAATGGTCATCCTTTACCTTCCAAGTATTTTCAAATTTTCTTCTATTCCACACTTGTATTTTAACCTTGTTTTTGATGCCATCCAACCTCTGTGAACTAGTCTTTATTGCTTCTGAGTTTGTGCAATGTTTAGGAAGTCCCAAGATAATAAAATGTCTTTGTGTTTATTATTCTAGTATTTTAAAATAATTTCCATCTGTGACCATCTAATATGTATGGAATATATTTTGTGTATTATATGAGTAGTTATTTTTAAATATTTTACTTATTGTTTTTATTTTATGTGTATGAGTATATTGCCTGCATGTGGGTAGGTGCACCCCTGTCGTGCAGTGCCTACAGAAGTCAGAAGAGGGTATTGGATCCCTTGGAACTAGAGTTACAGATGGTTGTCAGCCACCATGTGTATGCTGGGAATTAAACCTGGGTCCTCTGCAAGAGCAGCCAGTGTTCTTAACTGCTGAGTCATCTGTTCAGCTCCCATGAGTAGTTATTTTAAATGAACTACTTTAAAAATGGTTAGACAATCACCTGAAGGGCCCATCCTTTCACCAGGTAACTTGAAATACCATTCAATCATATACTAAACAGAGATGTACACATGTATACATGTTTTTTCTGCTTATTGTCTATACATTCCTGCAATCATTGCACATTATTTTAATTACTGTGGCATTATGACATATTTTGAAATGGTTTATAAATGCTGATTCACCTCATAAATGCTGATTTCCAACTTTAAACATTTCATATTGTTCTTACTTATTTTCCACTTCACAAGAATTTTAGAATTAGCCTGTCAGTGTCTGTATAAAAGCTTAGAGGATGCTTGCATAGCCTTGAGTTTAGATAACAATGCATTGAAGTTTGGCATAGGTTTTTTTTTTTTTTCAATTAAGGGATAGATATTAAGAGGCTTGAGAAATGGCTCAGTGGTTAAAAGAATACACTTCTCTTCCAGAGGACTTGAGTTTAGTTCCCAGCACTCATATCAGGAGGTTCAAAACTACCTATAACTCCAATTCAAGGGGAATCCAGCAACCTCTTCTGGCCTCCACAGGCACCTGCACACATATGACACACAGGCACATGGACATATACAATTAAATAAATAAATTAATGAAATATTTAGAAAACTTTAAATTACAAAAACCAAGAGGTATATATTGATTGAAAGGCAAGTCTGTCTTGGTATTATTTCTACAGTGTCAATGATAACATGTTGCACCTCCTATACCATGCTCTCTTTCTGGGAACACACTGGAGTGTGTATACTAAGCCTCCCTTGTAACTGACTGGAGAAAAGATGTGACTATATGCTGCACAGTGGAATCCACACTGTGATAGAGTCATGCCGGACATAACCAGTTCTGTGTCTCTCAGGTTCCCTATTTCTTGCTGTAGACTGTTTGGAGACAGCATGTTCTTGATAAATACTGTAGGATGGAGAAGGGCTGCCAAACAAAAGATTATCTTTTTATAGGTAATCTTTTTATGTTCTTTGTTTGATTGGAAATTTATTTATTATAGCAGCAAAGTTTATCTCACCCTTACTACTATAACATCATCCCGGTTTGTGATCTTCTAATTCAGAAACAGAATTTGCATCACCATTCATGAAGTTTTCTTTTAAAACTTTCACTGGAGTTTCAGTTTTTTTTTATCATAAGGGTTTTACACTCTCCTTACAGGATTATTCATAGGATTTATGGGATACAGAGTTCATAATTACGTAGCTTACAAGTTTTGGACACAGATCAGTAGGATTCAAATCCTGATTCTACCACTTGGGAGCTGTGTAGCCTTAGACAAACTGCTTACCTGCTCTCTGTCACATTTGCTTATCTATAAGGGAGTTCCTGCCTTATGGATCCTCTGTGAGGATAAATGTGTTGTGCCTGGCATATAGTATTTCAAAAGAGTTTAGGCTTCTCTGATCAGTCTTCTTCATTTCAGGAGTGTGATCATTTTTCATGTATATTTTCTCTTAAATTTGTTAGTTGTTTGTGACTTGAGAAAAGATACTACTGATTTTTGTGACTCGATCTTGGCCCTGTCAACATAAAGAACTAATTAGCTCTAATATGTTTACCAGAATTTTCAAGATATGTGACCACATATTTGAGTTTCAGGGTTATAAAAGAAGCTAGAAAATTGTATTTTTGTTTCTTTATTTGGATTAGTTTATTAAAGGACACAGTTACCGATC